AGAACCTGGCGCCCATATGGGACACTGGCGCCGCAGGCGGAGGATTAACAGAGTGAACCATGGCGCCAACCCCAGGTTTACTTCTTAGTATTAGTACTTATGCATGCCCAGTGTTGCTTAATAGTATCACTAATCAAAATTATCATAACCAAATGCATAACTGAAATTCATATATAAATACAAATTTTCTACCTAAATGTAGATAATCAAAGTTATCTCATGCCTAAACACTATGATTGAGCTCATGGAAATAGTTTTGTAAGCTTTTTATTATGATTCCAGTAGAAGGAAGAAAATAAGTGGATGTTCCAGAAAGTTCTTTAGCTAGCAAAGTGTTTCTGCATATTTATAAAGTTATTGTTATAATATTTTACTTTTCTTAGTCTATGCTTTTTAATTTTGTTTATGTTTTGTTATGGACACAATAATTTAGTATAGTAACATGTGTACTATAAATAAGTAAACGTAAATATGTGTCTATATTCAAAACTTTTTACTGTTAAATGTATGTAATAATGAAACAGAAATGCTAATGACCCTGACTTAATAAGGATGCACTGTATACATGTGTCAAAATATCATCCTGTACCCCATAAATATGTATTATTACATATTAATCAAATATTTTAAATGAGGGCCACCACTTTTTTTTTTTAAAGATTTGTTAATTTATTTGAAAAGAAGAGATAGAGAGAGGAGAGAGAGAGAGAGAGAGAGAGATCTTCCATCCACTGGTTCACTCCTCAAATGGCTGCAATGGTCGGGGCTGGGCCAGGCTGAAGCCAGAAGCCAGGAGCTTCATCTGGGTCTTCCACGTGGGTGCAGGGACCCAACTACTTGGGCCATCTTCTGCTGCTTTTCCCATGCACATTAGCAGGGAGCTGGAACAGAAGTGGAGCAGCTGGGACTCTAACCAGAGCCCATGTGGGATGCCGGCACTGCGGGAAGAGATTTAACCACAGCACCAGTGCCAGGACCACCAGTTAAAAGAAATTTCCATTTGAAGAGCCCATAATTCACAAATTTTTAAAAGTAGAAAATAATAGTACATCTTTGAAACATGGCTATTGACTAACATTTTGTTCTATATATGATAGCACTTTAAAAGTTCATAGACAAATGGAATTAAGAGTTAAGTTTACTTTGGTGCAAAAATATTAAATCAATGTGTATTCAAATGAGCATAAACTGAAAATACTAATTTCTAGTTGTCATTGAATACATCATTAGTATCTTAATATTAAATGAATATATCAACCAATTAGCCAACCAGCCCACAATTCTTATGGAAATTCACATTCTCGTAAGCTAGAATCTCTGAAAGACTTAATCTCACAAGATGTGTACTGGAAAAAAAATGTATTCACCTACTGAACATTAAATGAAGTGATGAAATCTACCAGAAAATTATATATTTTTAGTGAAATATTCATTTTTCTAAGTTACTTGACATCACTCAGTGGAAACAATACATTAATTGAATTTGAGATTCTCATATCTATGATCTTGTCATCATTGCAAAAAGGTCATACATAAATCTCAATAGAGGATTTACCCTTCATCCCAAGTAGCACAAGTTCTCACCTTAAAATTTAATCACTGTTTTGTGAGTTATTTTACTTTTAATAAAATTAATGTTTAATACATGTGTTGCACCACAATTAGCCCTCAGTGATTCATAATTTCTAATGGTAGATAAGACTAATTATTGTTAAATACAGGTAGTACTTGGAATAATGAAACGCGTGCTACTCATTTTGTAGAATAATTATAAGAAAGAACAATTACAATATGCTAAAATAGGTCTCTTTCTGTTCTAGTTTCTGCCCAGCTCCAATAGGTACAGATTCTTTCTCATTCTTCTTTTTAAGGATTTTTTTTTGACAGGCAGAGTGGATAGTGAGAGAGAGAGAGAGACAGAGAGAAAGGTCTTCCTTTTTGCCATTGGTTCACCCTCCAATGGCCGCCACGGCTGGCGCACTGCGGCCTGCGCACCGCGCTGATCTAAAGGCAGGAGCCAGGTACTTCTCCTGGTCTCCCATGGGGGGCAGGGCCCAAGCACTTGGGCCATCCTCCACTGCACTCCCTGGCCACAGCAGAGAGCTGGCCTGGAAGAGGGGCAACCGGGACAGAATCCGGCGCCCCGACCGGGACTAGAACCCCGTGTGCTGGCGCCGCTATGTGGAGGATTAGCCTAGTGAGCCGCGACGCCGGCCCTTAAAGATTTATTTTATTTATTTGAAAGAGTTATAGAGAGAGGTAGAGACAGAGAGAGGTCTTCCATCTGCTGGTTCACTGCCCAGATGGCTGCAACGGCCGGAGAGCTCTGAAGCCAGGAGCCAGGAGCTTCTTCCTGGTCTCCCACGTGGGTGCACTTGGGCCATCTTCTACTGCTTTCCCAGGCCACAGCAGAAAGCTGGATTGGAAGAGGAGCAGCCGGAACTAGAACCGGTGCCCATATGGGATGCTGGCACTGCAGGCCAGGGCTTTAACCCACTGTGCCACAGCGCTGACCCCTCTTCCCTCATTCTAAACTGAGGTTTTAGGCCAGTAAAATACATACTTGCCAAGGCGATAGCCAAGATTTAGTTTCGCAAGCCATTGGTTACTACCCCCATCTTATAAAATGGGTTACAGAGACAAAGAAAATGCTTGAGAATTGGAAGAAGATTTTTGAATATGGGAGTTCAAATATCTCTTCAGCATACACTACTCACAGAGGCAAAATTTGGAATCAACTAGGGCCCATCAATGGATGAATGAATAAATAAAATGTGATATGTATACATTGATAGAATACCCTTCAGTTTAAAAAAAAAAAAAAAAAACAAGCTTACCCTGCCATTTGTGACAACGTGGAAGAACCTGGATCACATTATGTTAAGTGAAAGAATCCAAGTACATAAAAGACAAATACTGCACATCCTCACAAATGTGTGAAATCTGAAAAGGCAAATTCGGAAGCGGAGAGTACGATGGTGGTTTTCAGAGGCTGAGGGAAGGGGGTAGAAGTGCACAAGAGGACAAATTGGTCAATTTTTACGAAATTGCAGTTAGATAGGAGAAATAAGTTCTGTTGGTCTGTTGCACAGCACAGTGGCTATAGTGAATGATAAAATGTTACGTATTTCAAAATAGCTAAAAGAGGATTTTCAATGTCCTACCACAGAGAAATGATAAATATTTGAAGAGATTGATATGCTACTTAGCTTGATTTGATCTTTCCATATTTACACATATCAAAGCATCACATTGTACCACATAAGTACCTATAATTATTATTTATCAATTAAAAATTAAAAAGTGTTTAAATAAAAAAAAAGAGAAAACTTTTGGAGAGTGTTATTGTTGAGCGTATGGGCCCTTCCATAGAGGGCATACTCTTCCCTAACTTCAGGCCCAGGGAAAGTGGCCCCAGTGGAACCAATCTCTTAAATTGGAGAGCTTGGGAACACTGTAAACTTTTGTCAGGCTGCTATCTGAGAAATCTAGCTTGGCCAGCTACCTGTTCTGATGACAGAACCGAGAGTCTATACTGGGATGGGCTTGACACTTGTCAGAGCAAGGGACACTGACAGCTTCCCATGAAACAATATGAAATGGGAAGGAGACCCAGCATGGTATTGTTTCAGTTTATGACCAAGACACTTCCTGGAACAGGATGAACTCCGCACAAAAAGGTCATATGTGTCCACTAGGATGCCACAGGAAAAGTAATTGTTGCTATCCAGAGCTGCTATGGGAGAGTCCCAATTATTGGGGAATTCTCCAAAGGACCCCCAAAAGCACCCCACAGTAGAAAAAGTCAGCCTCAAACAACTACACCAGTGCTAGATAGCTAGAACAGAATCAGACTTTCTCTGATTCTGATTTCTCTTAACTCCTCACCCTACCTTGGCAGGAAGCCACGGCCAGGAGACAGAGCAAAGAGCTTACAACTGTGCTTCCTGTGTAAAAGAAACCAGCTTGTATAAGGAAAAACTAGAAAGGAAAACGCATCAACTTGCAACACATTTCTTAAGGTTTTAAAAAAATCATTGCTATTATATTATTATCACACATTATTTTACTGAGACCCTCTGAGGTAGTAAAATTCTGAGAGTGACTAGGAAAGCTGTAGGGCCCATTGCATTTTTGACCAGGGACAAAAAGAACAAGTCTCCAAGAACAGATTTGAAAGGCAGTGTGTGGGGCCAGCTCTGTGGCATAGCAGGTAAAGTCACCGCTTGCAGTGCCGGCATCCCATATGGGCACCGGTTCGAGTCTCGGCTGCTCCACTTCTGATCCAGCTCTCTGTCATGGCCTGGGAAAGCAGTAGAAGATGGCCTAAGTCCTTGGGTCCTTGCACCCACGTGGGAGACCAGGAAGAAGCTCCTGGCTCCTGGCTCCTGGCTTCAGATTGACTCAGCGCCAGCCATTATGACCATTTATGGAGCGAACCAGCAGATGGAAGACCTTTCTCTCTTCCTCTCCTCTTTCTGTGTAACTCTGACTTTCAAATAAATAAATAAATCTTTTTTTTTTTAAAGAAAGGCAGTGTGGAAGAAAATGAAATTATTTTCTATTGTGCATTATAAATTCTGCTTGTGCAGTATCCTGATTTCAATAATAGTTACTAAAATTTGTCAAGTATTTGTCATATGCCAGATACTGTTGACTTTACATGTATTAAATAATTTCATCCTTACAACAACCCTGTAAGATTATTATACTCATTTTCCAGGTGAGAAATTTAGGCACAGAGAGAACTGCAGTAACTTGCCTAGGTTATACGACTAGTAAGTGGCAAAGCTGTTCATGTAGCTATTTTGAGAAAATATTTCAGTCCCTTTCCAAGAATTCTTTTCTATCAATCATCCAAAATACTAAATGTTTAACATATAAACAACAGGTATACCAGCTTCAATGCATCAACACGTTGCAGAGACACCCTGGACTACATGTGATTCACATGGCTTTTTCCCTTACATTTGTTTTTCTCCTTTTTTTTTTTTTTTCAGGTGTGGGCAACCAGTACAAAATAAAGTACAGTTGAAAGGGCGTGACCTCCTTACTCTAAAGGACTTCACAGGAGAAGAAATTAAATATATGCTGTGGCTATCAGCAGATCTGAAATTTAGGATAAAACAGAAAGGCGAGGTAAGTAACATTTTCTTGTTACCTTCCATTACTACCAATAAACCTTTTCAGAGTCTTCCCTTTCCAAAGAAAGAGGGAAAGGAAAATACATTAGAATTCCTAGATAGTAGCTAAGTAATGAAACCTCACAGTCAAGATAATTGATTATCACTGAATGCTCAGGCATACAAAAAAGCATAAAGATCAGTTATTCAATGACACATCATTGCATTTCTTTCATGTGAAATACTGAAATTCATTATTAAGTGGATCAGAACCTAAGAAATCTTTTGTCTGGAAAGATTTTATTTTTATTACTCTTTTCTTTTCTCTATGTATTTTCTATCAAGTTAAAATTTAACATGATACTAGCCGGCGCCGTGGCTCAATAGGCTAATCCTCCACCTAGCGGCGCCGGCACACCGGGTTCTAGTCCCGGTCGGGGCGCCGGATTCTGTCCCGGTTGCCCCTCTTCCAGGCCAGCTCTCTGCTATGGCCAGGGAGTGCAGTGGAGGATGGCCCAGGTGCTTGGGCCCTGCACCCCATGGGAGACCAGGAAAAGCACCTGGCTCCTGGCTCCTGCCAGGATCAGCGCGGTGCGCCAGCTGCAGCGGCGGCCATTGGAGGGTGAACCAACGGCAAAGGAAGACCTTTCTCTCTGTCTCTCTCTCTCACTGTCCACTCTGCCTGTCAAAAAAAAAAAAAAAAAAATCAAAATTTAACATGATACTTTTTTTCTAGCAACAAATTTAAATTTTGGATGCATTTCAGATATATACTCATTAGGGCAATGTCAAAAAATTCACAAGGCTATGATAGTGTTTAAAGAAGCATTTAGATTAGCAAAAAAAAAAAAAATTAAATGGTAGCCAAGTAGGGGAAGAGATGGGACATGGTACTTAGCTGTAAGCATTATTCTGCATTTTGAGCAATTTGTGTCTGAAACACGCTTAATTAATTCAGTAGCTTCATTTAGACTGCTTAATTGTGAGAGCATTTTTGGATTCCAAACTTGTTCAAAAACTTTAATAAAGAGTTGTTTTCAGGTTTAGAAAGTTTCAGACAACCATGATTTTCTTATGTAATTGCTCAGTTCTTCAAGCTTCTAAGAACAAACTGAGGGCAGAAGTAACCCCAAAAGCTATGGACTGACACGCCTATAGAATGCCTGAAATGGGGAGAAAATGTCTTCCCAGATACCATGCTTTTGTTCTCCCCACTTTGTGTACAAAATAGGTTAACTGTCAGAAACTATTCCAGAACTCATCCTATCAGGAAGCCCATCTACCGAAAAGGAAGGAGAAAGAGCCCCACCCTATGTCCAAACTCTCCAGATTGTTTTCAAATGGCTTTGAGAAACAAAACCATGTGGGTACACGAGGAACGCGTAGCTAAAACTCGGGCTTCTTTATCAGCTTAAGTAGGGATCTTAGTGCTCCGTGTTCCTACCTGAGAAACCACCTCTGAACCAAACCTCTTCAAGGGCATTGAAAATTTAATAGAGATTTCAATGGCGTTAAGAAAGAAGGTGTTTCCAGCTTGAAATATTATTATGTTTTGGAACACATGTCCAAATTGAACATAGAACAATTATTACTCTTTTTTAACCACATGTCAGTAAGCTGTGGAAATTAGTGTTGCTTTTTCCAAAGTATGTAAAAACACTGCGGGGGGGGGGCACATCATCAATTCATTTAAAAATGGTATTTTGAACACTTATTTGGAAGCAGTGATTAACCTATATTTCCTAATAATGTAAAGAATAAGATTTGAAACATAATCCTCAGTATTGGATATGAAACGTATTTTACATATTTACTTGTATTTTTGTCCTTGACTTTCAGTATTTACCTTTATTGCAAGGGAAGTCGTTAAGCATGATTTTTGAGAAACGAAGTACTCGAACAAGATTATCCACAGAAACAGGTGAGTTCACTGGCAAGCTTGTACTTATGTTAAAGAGGGAGCCTGAGAGTGAGGACTTGGGAGGCTAATAACCCAGTGAGATGTGTCTCCCTCTTTAGCAATGGAAAAGAGAAACATTTGCACCAGGATGAGCAGTGCAAGCCTATGAATGCTCTTTCCAATTCTCGTAAGGCAAAAAAATTAGCTGTATCAGGAGGACTTGAGTAGAAAGCTCCACTTCCTTCTTCCTGTTCAGGACAAAATGTTAAGTGGACACAAATTCTCAGACTTCAAGCTGTAGCAGGTAAGAAGTGTGAAGGTTTTCTGACATGCAAAAAACCTTTTCTTATGTTTCTCAATTCTATTGGATAATGGAAACCTGATCTCTGCAGTTAACATCCTTTCCCCACATTCATGGTTAAATCCTCGAGGATATCTGAATGTCAGGATATCTAGGGCTATGGGGCTCTGGTCCTTGCTTGTCAGGACATCATCATCAAATGTCCATGCTGCAGTCTGCCAGGACTTCTGTATTCCCATGGAGTTCTGACAGTTTCCCATTTGTTGTGGTGTTTGCTTCACTTTGCTCACAAGATCTGAGATATCTATCAATTTGGTTCTCTCAACTTCTGGGCAGCTCTCCAAGTCACACTAGGCACAGAGATACTGCAAGGCCATCTCTACTCTAATGTTCCTTCCTCATGCTGGGTGCCAAGGAAAACTATAACATTTGCTGCCTCCTAGAGCTCTGTATTAACAGCAAGACACAGATGTTCTAATTTCTGGGGTCTCCCAAATGCATCTGACATTTCCATTATGCTTCCCACCCTTTAGAAGTTAGGCTGGGGAACACAGCAGGGTACAGTATCAAATGTCAAATCAGGGGCCGGTGCTGTGGCATAGCGGGTGAAGTCACCACCTGCAGTGCTGGCATCCCATATGGGCACCAGTTCAAGTCCTGGCTGCTCTACTTCCTATGGCCTGAGAAAGCAGTAGAAGATGACCCAAGTCCTTGGGCCCCTGCACCCACGTGGGAGACCCGGAAGAAGCTCCTGGCTCCTGGCTTCGGATTGGCACAGCTCTGGCCATGGCGGCCAACTGGGGAGTGGGCCAGCGGATGGAAGACCTCTCTCTCTCCTTGACTTTCAAATAAATAATAAATCATAAAAAATCAAATCAATTCTTACTTCTATTGCTTCTTCTCTTTTGCTTCCCTTCTTCTCCTTCCACTTCCCAGTATGAGAGGCCAGGAGATACAGCAGGAGGGAAAACTGGCTCTGACAGTATCCATGTATTCTTCCACAGCTATTGTGTTTATCCAGAATTCTGGGCTATTGCAACTCAAATTTTTCTTTTTTTCTCGCAAGCTATTATCTCTGCGATGGGTTTCAAAAAGTCTATTTTGAAGCTCATAAGCCACAAATTGCTTTCTCTTTCTTCCTTTCTCTATCTTTGCTCTGTTAGACCTCCCTTGAATCAATAATATGACTGCCCAAATGGACGATCAGACAGGGTCAAGAAAGAAGCATCACAAAAACACATTGGTTGATTCTTCAAATATCTTATCTTGACATAAAAGTATCAGAGCTTTCTAGGTATTAGAAGCAAATAACTATTGTACTTTAGACATTTTTTGCATTGCAATGATCAATAATGAGGTTCATCAAATAGATAACAAAAATGAAATTTGGGGGAATTAAATGACTTTCTAAGTTCATTCAATTAACACAACTAATACCAGGAATCTGATGTCAAGTGCATTATTCCTACTAATACAGTCCCCTTTCCCTTTAAGAGAAGGAAGGAGGAAGATCAAGAATATATAAGGAATCACTTAATCTTTAAAGTCCCGGGAAGCAAACAAATGAGAACATTTTGTTCTTCAAAGCTTGCTTCTATAAGTGATCATGTTGGAATCTGATGGATAGTAGGGGGAAAATTAATAACCAGTTAGAAATTCTCAAATTCTGCTCCCTTCCAGCACTGGTCCTTCATGGCTTGGGTGAAATTTTATTTTATTTTACCTATTCTTAACCATTAGCACTTAAAAGAGGTGATATTTCTTGAAATCATCAAAATAACTGATTAATACATAGACATTTTTCAATTTTAAGTTTTTAAATGTTTTTTTCTTATTGGTCACTGGTGTTTCCTAACATTAATTTCTGTTCAAATGTTATGTTTGGCATCAAAGTATCCTTAAATAAATGATCAGTTACCATTCACAATAATGTTGCACAGAAGCTAACTACTAAAAACAAGAATGAGAAATTAATAAGTTTTTGGATACAAACCCTGAGTCCAAGTGGTCTGTGTTAATTACATAGTTTATCTCATTTAATACTTATGACAACTGTATGAGAGCAAGATCATTGAGAAAAGCAGGCTGAAACGGGTACAGCAAATGGCCCGTAGATATATAGCTAATAATCGTAGAGCCAGGATTGGAAGCTATTATTAAATGCATTTTTAAATATCTTATTTAATTCAGGCATGTAAGAGTAATGTTTTATTCTAGCAAGATTGTTTCTACAGGTAACATTAAGTATTTTGTTAAGTGACAGTTTTCTCTAAAGTACTGTGAAACTTGAACAAAGTGCAAACTATAATAACAAATACATGAAGAAAGGAAAGTTTGAACATTAAAACTTACAGTTCACAGAGTATTTGTCTTTATCCTCAGTGAACACCCAGGAGTCTAATTGCATATAATATCCTGCCAAACTCAACAGTAGGAGAATCAGAGAGAGTCGTCACCTTAAATGCTGACGGAAGTGGTAAACCTCAGTTAAAGCCACGCAGAACATTTCTTGGTGCTTATGTGCATCTTAATAATTGGCCTTTGGTAAAAATGTGTACAGGTACCACCTGTTGCCTTAGTGCTTAAAATGAGCATGGGGTGTAATTAATTATATTGCTCCTCAAGAGTTGTGACAGTTTCTGGGATGGAGTGATCCTCAGAGGACAGTCCTTAAGAATTCTATCTCAAGCCTGAGTTTCAAACATACAGCAGAATTTCTGCTTATCTCAGGAGACAGGATAAAATTCTTTACCCAGATGCAACTATAGTAATTGCTTATGTAACGTGCTTATTAAAGTGTAACACCCCTATAAAAAAGTGCACAAATCACTAGATAGTTAGATGAATGATTAAACACGTTATTGTAACTCACACCTAGATTGAGAAACAAATCATTAATAACACCCAGAAGCACCCTCCCAAACACCTTGTATTTCCTTCTAGTTGCTACCCCCTCCACCCAAGGGTGACCATTATTCTGACTTACAACATTACACATTGGTTTTGCCTATTTTCAAACTGTATTTCAATGGAATCATTCAGCATGTGCTCTTTGGGTCTAGATTCTTTTGCTCAGCTTTATGGTTGTGATATGTATCCATGCTGCTGTGTATAGTTGTAAATCATTCACTCCTTATCCACCCTTTGTGTGTGCCTGCACGGCAAACCAGACAAATCTCCAGTGTGCCTACTGATGACTATATTCTTTTATTGCAAATTAGGGAGCCAATAGACAGATCCATTTATTAATCTTGGTAAGCACGATAGCTGATAGAAAACTGCACAGGGTATTCTTACAGATGGTTCTTTTCATTATGTGTCATTGATATTTCACTTTCAAGGTGAAATAGAAGCCAGTGCTTTAGCAG